GCCAGGCAGGGATTTGATTCAAGGAGAAACGGCTCGGGGGGGGGGGAGCCTCCGAAGTCCCTGAGCGTGTTGAGTTGGGGGCCTTTCTTGGCCAAGCAAACTCAAGCAGCAGGGCGAGGACTGGTAAGGAGGCGGAGCTGACGAACCAGAACTGGCCCCCGGCCGGGCGCTGATCCCCCGAAATGACTGGCAAGCCAGACAGGGGCTTCAGGCCTCCCGCCCATCGGCCCACCCCAGGCTGGTTCTTCAGGTGGGAGTCCAGGATTCGCCTGAACCCGGCCAGGGGCTCTCCTTGGCCCCTGTCTGGCCCTGCTCTTCCGCCCTTCTGCCAAAGGGAGAGGCAAGGGTCCAAAAAGTGCTCATTAGAGCGAGACCACCCGTTCACACCAAGATATAACCCCGAACCAGCCCCTTGCTAGAAGCAGCGATTCATCTGCCAGGCCTTCTGGATTTTCTCACTTGGAGTCTTGGTGATAACTTCATAAATCTTGCTGCAAACCCACTGGCCGGCCAGGAAACCTTCCACCCTCTGCCAAGGCAGAAGACATGGAAGAATCGGATGCAGGGAGTTCGAGAGCCAAAGGGAGAGAGGGAAATGGACACCAGGTGAAGGTTGGCGGCTCGGCACGGTGGGGCCTTCTGGTTTGGTCCCCACGGTCAAAGTGCAGTGAATAAAGTTTATGGTACCCAAGCCTAAGACTGAGACGCCATGGTCTGAGACGGCCTAAAAGCGGCAGATCGTCCTCTTCTTCTGAGCAGTTCTATGGTCCAGCTTTCCAGAGCACTTCTTCCTCCCTCTCTCCCTGGCATGAAATGCCTTTTACAAGGTTCCATTTGTCTTGAATAAGCTGTCCTTCAGCAAAGGGTCTCCCCTGGGACAACAATAGTTCTATTATATTTCTCTGACATGGCGGGGTTGCATGCATGAGCAGGACCAGGACGCCGCGGAGGTCTTGCTTCCGTAACAAACACCAACTCGCCTTCAACTTCATCACAGCCTAAATGTTCTCCAGGGGTTGAGTTGGTGCCTCAGACAGGGACTCTGCTCTCCCTAGTCGACTTCAATTGCCCACCGCAGGGTCCGGCAGCCTTGCCTGGGATGGCATCTCATGCCCCGCCACCCCCACCCCCATCCCTACCCCAAGACCCTCCATTGAGGAGTGTTGCTCTGAGAAGTAGGCATCATAGCGGGGGGGGGGGAGGAAGGAGGCCGGGGGGCAAGAGCCCAAGTGGGCCCACCTCCTGGAAGCAGAGAAGGCTGTCCTTCTCCCCAACACTTTTTGGGCAGATCAAAGAGCTCCCCCTCCCTTGCAGAAAGGATGAAAACGAAGGATGAGCTCAAAGAGATCAAAAGCACCGTGCCGGGGGTGGGGGTGGGGGAGAGGGAGGCAAACTCCGGCTAGGGCGGCAAGCATCTGCTGCTCTTCTAAGGGGCCACCAGAGGCCACCTGGCTACCTCAGACCCACCTGACCACTGCCATGGAGGCATTTTTGAGAAGTTTCCTGGCGCCCTGCGGGGGGGGGGGGGAGGCTGGCCAGAGTCAAGAGTCTCCTGCCAACCTGCTGGAAGAGGAAGGGCAGGGACTTCTCTCTCTTGTCCCTGGTCCTCCAACCATCCTTTGATGGGAAGGGCCGCCAGTGCCCCCGTGTGGAGGAAACATTTTGGCCACAGGAACCGTCCCTCTGGGCAGCAGGGAAAGGAGCCGGCCCCAGCACAGCGGCTGGAGAGAGGCTCCATCGCAGGTGGAGTGCTGGACTGGACTGGCTGGGCGGCCAAAGGGAGAGCGGAGGAGGAAACGGGCTCCAGCCGCCAAGAACCCTCTGCGGTCTTGACCAGCCCTCCGGAAGAGAAAGGGAGGCGGGCGCATTCTTTTCGACCTTTATTTCGCCCTCAGGAATTCCAATGTGGCCTGAATGAGAACAGAAGTGGAGGAGGGGATTCTCTGGGGTGGGATCCACAAAGGTCCCCGGGATGGGCGTCTCAGTCCTGGGCCAGCCAGGACCCTCTTGCCAGGACGCTCGTGAGACAAAACACGGGGCTTGAAAAGGCCACTCGGTGACCCTGTTCCTTAAGGCTTCGGGTGTTTTCAGCAGCAGCAGCAGCCAGGAAAAGTTCTGGGAGGCAGGAGGCGCCTGGTCTCCCCTCACCTTTGCCCAGCCGTTGCCGGAAGAGGCGCTCTGCACTCACACAAATCTCCAGCGCTGACCTTCGGACACAAGCGAGCCACAGGCCACCACCTCACTCTCGCCTCCCGCTCCTTTTCCGCTCTGGATACGGCCAAGCGCAGCTTCCCCCAACCAGTTCTTCTTTCCAAAGAGAGGCCCACCAGACACGGTCAGCTCTGGCAGAAGAAGCAAGATCCCCCCCTCCCCACAGAGGAGGGTGCAGAAAGGATGGGCTTGCGGGGGGGGGCTCCATCCGAAAGGGCAGAGAGTTCTCAGGGAGCTTCCAGGAAGAAGCAGACCTTCAGCAGCACATCTGGGGGAAAGGAGCAAAGAGGTTTCAGGACTCATTCTCCCCAAGCATTCAAGGGACCCGCAGAGCCAACGGCCCCTGACATGGCGGGGTTGCCGTCCTGACCCAGGGGGGCATGGAGGGGGGAGCAGAATTAGGAGTGGCTGGCCCCCACCCCACCCCCATCAGAGGACTAAGCCTAGCCCTCTGCCAACAACAGCCTCTCAGCTCAGCCCCCTCTGCCGGGTGGCCCTAACAATCCCCCAGCATCCTCCTCCACAGGAGCTGCTCTGGAAACACTGAAGGTGGTCTTATGGACCACCTCCCGAGAGCAAAGCTCCTGATCCACAGGGCGGGGGCCCCTCCCTGCTCCCTGGATGCCAGGAGGGTGCTGGTCTGTTATTCATCCCTCCACTCCCTCCCCCACTCCCCCCAACCGCAAGCTCCCCCTGAGCTTCGTCACCTTCCACCACGCTCTGCTGTCCGTGTTGCAGCGCCTGCGCCCAGGCTGCTGGGAGAGCTTGCAGGCCTGCCAGGTCCTCACAGCTGGCCTGCAGCACGAGGAGCTTCACCTCCAGGTATCTTTTGAGAAGTCAAGGTCATCCACCTTGAGGAGAAGCAGGCCATCTGCCCCCCCCAATCCCTCCTCCTCTGGAAGGACAGGACCCACCAACAAAGTGGACGGAGAACAACAGGCTGACCCAGCCTCCTCCCCAGAGAAGCCACTTGAGGGGGGGGCCAAGGACTCCCCTCTCCACACACCCCAGGGATGGTCTGGCACTGTCTTGGCCCCTGGCGACCCTTCCCGGCAGAACAAAGAACCCAGACTTCCCTGCTACAAAGCCCTCGGTCCAGAGCTGGGGGTCCAAGGGCCTCTGGAGGGTGGATGTTCTCTTCCCTGCAATGGGTGGCCCCTTCCTTTGGGTGGGGGGTGGGGTGGGGACACAGGGGACACCCGGTCGCAGTTCAGTTGTCTTCAGCAGAGGCAGCCAGCTGCTGTTCCTTTGAGAACAGCTCCTGGGCTCCTGTCCTTTAATACCCTGCTCTCCAAAACAGTTAGTTTTTTCTTTAAGAACAAGGGGAAACTCCCAGCAACAGGGGGTTAATTCTGGAATCTGGGTCTTTGGGAAAAGCACCAAGGTCAAAAGTTACCCCCACTCCCGCCTCCGCCTCCTGCTTAACTGGCTCCTGTGAAGCTATTTACCCGAAACACGGGGAAGGTGTCTCTGAAGGTGGCTTCACGTACTGCGTTGAAGCCCCAGCCACGGTAAGCAAACCAATAAGCCCTCAACCCAAATCAGCCTTGATCAGGAGCTAAGCATGAGATGGATCGATCACAAGCAGCTTTAGCGGGACTCCTCTCTCTGTTTCACGGGTCTGCTGACGTGCCAGCCTTGCAGGGCTCAACGCCACAGGAGGGGGGCCCTCCCCTGGGAGATGCAGAGTCCTTTCAAAGGATACACATGGTGGTAGAAGGCTTCCGCGTCCAGCAGCCACTCCAACATCTCGGCTAGCGAAGGCCACAGCGCCGAACGCTGGAAGGCCTTCGTCGAGACCAGCTCATCTCCCAGCTGCTCACAAAGCAGGGACACGCCGGACACCCGGACGGCGACAGCATCCCGCACCTTCTGCAGCTCCTGGCTGTAGGAACGAAGGGCTGCATCACGCCTGGCAAGAGAGGGTTCGCCCAGAGCAGCTCTCCACTCGCCTGCTGAGCAAGCCCACTAATTATGCCTTCCACCCTATTTTCCTGCCATCGCAGTCATCAGATGCCCAAATGGCCTTCCATAATTCAGAGCAGTACAACCTCTGGCTGTAGAAATGGTTAGGCCTGGGCACACAGAAAGGGCCACGTCACTCCTGCCTGGCCCTAAACACTCCATGGCGCCACGATGAAAATAAAGACGAGGGCAGGAAAGCCTTTGTCAGCTTGGAAAGAAACCACACACTGAGGTTTGCAGAGATAATGACCAAGAATGATTCCAGGTGATCAAATGGTTTGCAAGCTAGCAAATGACTGTCGGAAAACAGCAGCACCTGGGGCTGAGCCCCTGAACCCAGAGACGACTAGCCCAAGACCCGGGCCTGTGAGCCCACACAGACACACACACACACACACACACACACACACAGACCCCGGCCTGCAGACCCCCTGACCCCAGGCAAGGCCTCCGGCGCCCTTACAGCTTGTCCTGGTGCAGCTCCTCCAGCAAAGCCTCCACCGCCCCGCGCTGCTTGCGCCCAAGCCTTTCCGGGAGATCGGGGAAGCCGCGCAGAGGGCTCTTTCCAAAGGCAACCTTCCGGAGGGCCCGCATCTGCTCGGCCAGGTTAGCCAAGGAGGCAAAGAGAGGCGTGCAGGCGGCCAGCGTCCTCTTCCACCCCTCGTTCTGCTCCCGGAGGTCGCGAAAGCACTTCCGCAGCGCGCTGTGGACAGGATGCGGGCAGGCGAGGCCTTCGGGATCCATCCTGCCGGGAGAATGCATGGGGTCAAAGCGGGGCTGGGGGGGGAGTAAGGTAGGTGTCACCCCATTTGTGCCAAGGCAAGGCGGCTGTGCCAGGAGCGGAGGCCCAGAGCAGGCGGGAGGGGTGAAATCCTGCTGGACTGCAAGAGGCGCGAGCGAAGGAGTCCCCCCACCAGGCTGAGAAACTCCGCAAAGGAGGGGGGATCAACGCCCCCAAAGCAGAGCAAGCCGATCGGCAAAACGACCCCCCGCCCCGCCCCGCCCGACTCCCCTGGGCAGGCGGGGGGGGGCGGCTCTCAAGGCTCAGCGGTGCAGAGGAAGGAAACGGAGGCCCGGGCTCAGCGTAGCTGCCCCGGCGGGTCTCCTCGCGGGAAAACCCCTCTGGGTCCGGCGCCGCCTCCGCACCAACAAAGGGGCACAGGATCGTGTCCCGACTCCTCCCCCGGGAGGGGCTCTCTCCTGTCTCCCCCAACCGCCCCGCCCCCGCTTTACCTTCGCCCCAAGACGGGCGCGTGGGGGGGACCCTCGCTCCCGCGGCTGGGGATCAGGGCCTCCAGTCAAGGGGCTGCTGGGAAATGGAGTCCTCCACGCCGCCCTCGCCACGGATTGGTTCCCGGGAAGAAGAGGAGGGGGGGCGGGGGATGCCCCTGCTCTCCGCGTTCGTGGCTCCGCCCCCTCGAGCCCAGCTCCACCCCCGCCCCGTCGCACCGCCTTCGCCCCTCTGACCAGCAGCAGGGGGCGCTGCGCGCCACGCTACCTGCGCCGGGCAGGGCTGCTTCTCCCAGTCGGATCCCGGGGCGGCCGTCCACCCGCCCGGAGCGGGGGAGGGCACTTGGCTGGAAGGCCAGGCGCTCGCTCGGCAGGGCCTTTTCTCGGGGCTTGAATTGTACATTCGTAACTTTCAAGAAACGTGGACTGTGCGTGTTTGTTTGTTTTCCCGCCGGGGCGTTACTCTGGGCGGCTTACAATATCATGACATGAAAATAAATTAAAATTTAATAATAAATGTCAAATTAAAACATCAAACAAAAATAAAACCAAACCTACACTAACAAGAGAGATGAAGGAAGGAAGGAAGGAAGGAAGGAAGGAGAACTGAGACCGTTATTCCAAAATAATGGGATATCAATAATCAAGACAGTACAATTAATCCGGGATGGACCTTTTCACTTGTTTTCTGAAGTCGAGGAGGGAAGGGGCCTGTCGCTCCTCTACCGGGAGGGAGTTCCTCCAGGAAGCGGCCACCAGGGCGAGGACCCTCCGCAGAGCAGCCCTTGCCTCTGAAAAGCGCCTTGCCACCGCTCTCTGCGGTTGCCTCCGGCCGGCGGCGCTGAGCTGTCCCGGCCGGCCCAAGCATAAGCCTCCGGTTGCCTCCGATGTGGCACTTTCTTTTGGCGCTCCGTGTGTGGAGGCGCACCTCCAGCAACGGCGGGGCTGACCGCCTCCCATCCTCGCCCTGGGTAACCGGCGGCATCCATTCCTGGGGGCCTGCCCACCTTCCGGCCGGCTGGCCCCACACTCCCCGCTGCCTA